CTCGCATTTATGATTTTTTTTACTTTTTGTATATATGCTTGAAATGTAAAATATCATATAAAAAAATCTTATGATATTGCATTTATATAGGCAAAATTTATAAGATTATCATTCTTTTATAATCAGTTAAATCTCGATCTCAAAATATTTTCTATATGAATTTTGGCTACAAGTTTGCACCAACAACATCTTGGATAGTAAACCAAAGATTTTTATTTAATCGCTTTACTGAATATATTATTTTTCAATACAATCAAATAAGAATCTGCAGCAGAGAAATATTGTCTGCCTACAAGAATTTGCACACGTAATCATAACGCATTATCATATCAATATATTTAAATATGACAGAGTTCCTAATCTCAATAGTCGTCAACTTTAATGTTTAATATCTCGGTTTGCGGGACAGAGTTTTTTCATTATCATTATAGTAATTTATTTTCATTATAGTAATTTCATTAAATATTTATTTTTACACAAAAGCACATCGATTCAGTGAATTTTTATTAAAATTTGGTATTTTTAATGTGTATTTTTAATAAAATTTATTAAAATTTTATTAAAATTTTTATTAAAAAGGTGAACAAGGTCTTCTTTAACCATTTTTACTTAAGTCCACCTCGAACATGTTTTAGCGAAGCTCGTCTTATTTATTACATATATGTCAAATAAGTCTGTTTTTATAATGACTATAAATTCGTAACTAAGAAGATAATGCTTATTTTGAACAAGATAAATATATTTACGAATCAAAATCGTTCAAGACGTTTTGAAATAAGATTGTCTTCAATAAGTTTTAACTTGAAATTTTACTCAAGTACCATCTCGTTTTTCGACTACGAATCTAGAGGGCATTTTACGATCATACTTAAAAATGTAAATACGGACTATGAATTATTTACATCGTGTATTTAAGCCACGGCCTATACAATAAGTGTGTTTGTTTATTCTGTAAGTTAAACAAAGATATCTATCGTATAGAATCGTGGACTGTATATAAGCGCACGGTGTAAACGTAGCCATAGTAACAGTGACAAAGGATAATGAATTCGACGTCGATTTTATTGTCATTTCTTACTGGGAGGTCGGTATTCATAATCGGTTCTTATCATCGACATAGAGTGAGAAACAGATAAATGGATGAACGTTCTTTCTCTGTTTATTAAAGCCTTATTGGTTGCTGTTGATCTATCAACCAATTATATCTACTCATATTTCTACTCCCATCACTGCCATCGATGGTCCATTCTATACGTTGATAATTCTTATTTCACCATCTTAAGTAATGCGGTTGTCTGATTCATAACATCTTAAGGACCGGTCTCATCAACTCCGATTAATTTAATCGATTGATTGTTATATTGGAACTGATCAATTGCATTTGCTGTTTAGCAGAATTGATCAATCACTTAATCGATCGATTAGATTAATTGGAGTTAGTGAGACCGGCCCTAAGACTGTAAGACGATCTTAAATATAAGAATCGACTATGAATACTAGTCATTGTAGAATCAGCTTAATGTCAACATCCTGCCATCGAAATGGAAACGTCATGGCAATGAGAATGTTACATCGTTACGAAAACAAGACAAGCAAAGTGCATTTTAATCATTTCGAGTTGCATGTATGGGAATTATGTATGATATACACAATAGATATTTTGTGCATGTAATTTCCAAAGTATTGAGAGTACAAATTAGTTCGGTCCGTTTCCCTAAAGATGGCTCCAGCTGTTGTGAATAGTTCATAGTGACAGCTGATTTTAGCGATTTCAGAGAAGTTAAACATCTGCTAATAATATTCAGTTTATATCGCTTTGAGTTTCAATAAAAACCTTGATTTTTACTGTGTTTGAAATGTCGAATTTTGTGTTAACTAAGCAGCATTTGCGGGAGGTTTTGATTTTCTGCTTTAATTGAAAGAAAAGTGCGACTGAAACCCATCGAATGCTTGTCGAAGTTTATGGTGACACTGCTCCAACTGATAAATTATGTAGAGAATGGTTTCGACGTTTCAAGGATCAAGATTTCAGCGTTGAAAAAGCCTCGCTCTGAACAGCCAAAAAAATTCGAAATTAACAAAGAATTAGAGGCATTACTCGAAGAAGATCAGAGTCAAACGCAAGAGGAGCTTGCAGAATCATTGGGGATAACTCAACAAGCCGTTTCTGTAGCCGATTAAGAGCCATAGGAATGATTCAAAAACGAGGAAATTGGGTGTCTTATGAACTGAAACCGAGAGACGTTGAAAGGCGATTTTTCACTTGCGAACAGCTGATTCAAAGACAACAGAGAAAAAGTTTTTTGCATCGAATTGTGACTGGAGAAATGGATATTCTACAACAATCCCAAGAAGAAAAAATACTACGCTAAGCCCGGTCAATCGTTGCCATCGATCTCAACATCAACACCACGGCCGAACATTCATGGATCGAAGATCATGCTCTGTATCTGGTAAGACCAAAAGCGTCTTGTTTACTATGAGCTGCTGAAACCTGGGCGATTTCATTACGGGCGATCGATATCAGCTACAATTGATTCGTTTGAGCCGTGCATTGCGAGAAAAACAGTCAGAATATACAAGCAAAGACATAAAGTTATTCTTCTTCATGACAACGCTCGACCTCATGTCGCTAAAGTCGTAAAAAAATATTTGGAAACGCTCAAATAGGATGTTTTACCGCATCCGCCGTATTCTCTGGACATTGCTCCTTCTGATTACTGGTTGTTCCGAAGGATGCAGCACGATTTGGCAAGTCACCGATTCACTTCTTTCACAGAAATCGAAAATTGGCTCCAAAATTGGATAGCTTCCAAAGACGAGTCATTTTTTCGAGATGGAATTCGAAAATTGCCTGGGAGATGGGAAAAAGTAGTAGGTAGCGATGGACAATACTTTAATTGATCTGTTCATTCATTTTGTTTTGAAATAAATGCATTTTTGAATACAAAAAAACGGACCGAATTAATTTGTACTCCCAATAATAAAAAAAAGTTAAAGAATATGTAAATAATTAAAGAGTATTGAAGTAAAAAAAAATGTTGCTGAAGCTTTCATGTAACTGACTTAAATATGAGTTGCGTCGGTCACGAATTCGAGTGTATTCGTGTATCTCGACGCTTATTGTGGATAGAAAGGTATTCGAGTGTCAATTTTGAGACTAGACAATATCGCAAATTGATATCTAGCTATGGCACGAGTAATCATTCTTCGTTGATTATTGCGGTGTAAATTCGTTCATCGTGTTCATTTTTCATCTTGAGATCTCTAGAAGATATTTTTAAAGACCAAGGATAACTCATTCGAGTATTATTGAACAACCGTTTTGTATGAAGCATTTCGCTGTTTGTAAACTTTAGAATTTATTTTAACAAACTCATTCAGCCAAACAAAGCTAAGTAGTTAAAAATAATGTATTGTTTATCAGCATTACATGGTCTTTTATATTTGCCATAGTCCATTTATCTCAAAGATCTTTCGTGTGATTTTTACCAAAAACGATGAAAAGATTTCAAAACTAAAAGGAAAATTTTTTATTTTAATTGATGGAATTATTTAATCAAGATTTCATCTAAAGTAATAATAAATTTAATATTAATTAGAAAAAGTCGAAAAATATTTCGATAAAATTATTATCTTCAATTACAATCGTAAATGAAATTCCAATTTTTATTCCCGCATCAATTTTACATTCTAAGCTGTCTATACATCGGGTTATCGATATCGATTGCTTGTTACAAAAAGTTTTCTTAAAAGAAACTCAAGACTAATACAAGCGTGCTAATTTTTATATTTTTATGATAATCTTGAAAATTTCGTTAATCATAAAAAAGCATTGTCTCGTCGTGTTATCGATGATAATGGATGATAATATTGTCACAGGATGATTGACGCCATATGTATTACAAGCAAATATTCGGAAATAAATCAAGCTATTGATTTTTTAAAAATTGGATTGTTATTTTAGGAGCATTATATATAAATAGAATTTATATATATATATATATATA